GATTACATTCTGTTTGTGTACAATAGACACCAGAAGAGTAAATAGCACCATCCTGCCAGTTCTTGTCGAAAAAATGATGGGAAAATTTTAGTGTTTGTGGTTTTCATTCGATAATTTAATGTTAACATGTTTCTCAATCTAAATTTTCTCATTTCCTTTGGAATAGGTGGGACTTGACTCCCAAACTCCTTGCTATGAAATTGATTTCAAAGGGGTAGACATGGAGACAGCAGCACTTATTGGAGAAGTAATTTTTTTTCCAGTTTCCCAAGACAAGTATATTAATGAGAATGAACTTGATATCCTCCCCCTTTTTCCACCGCATCTCAAATGGGCTTCTTGATGAATTTTATCTTGTTTTCAGTACAATATTACTTATATTTAAACTACAAACCATGCCAGGGGGCATATCGAGAAATTTATTTGGTAAAGTGGCGTGCTACAGAAGTAGCTGCCAAAACAATTCTTCCTCCATTGCATCAAATCCAAGGGTGAAGTGAGTTCTATTATGTCTTCTGTTGAGCAACAAGCTCCTGTCTCTCCTCCCAGTACTTCTTTTCCATTTTAGTTAGACTTTTGGATGGATGCTTATCCACTTAGTTTACCCAGTGTAAATTAGAATGAAGCTGCAGTGATATAATGTGGTTATTCCTTACCTCCTCTGCCATGATTAAGGAAGTTTATAAGCCAAATTTGGTTTTATTAGTGACTTTGCTTATTTTTGAATATTTTACATGAATTCCTTCCTGAAGGATCTTGCTTTGTGGCAAATGTTGCGCCACCCTAATATGGTGCAGTTCTAGGTGTTTTGAAGCACTCCGTCCGCCTGATCTTTCTCACTGAGTATCTTCGGAATGTAGGTTGTGCTTATGTTATAGTTAACAAACTCTTTGGATACTGTATTTGCTAAGTTTTCTTCTCAACATGAATGTCCAGGGAAGTTTGTATGATATATTGAAAAGGAAAGGAAGACTTGATCCACCAACAGCCGTTGCTTATGCCCTCGATATTGCAAGGTATATCATTTTGCTACATTTTAGTCTTCCATCTGAAAATTGGAGTTTAGGGTCTGTTGGATTGACTTGCAGTGAAACCTACTGAGGAATTGTTAATTTTTTCCTTCACAGCCTGAAATCGCAAATCAGTAAAATGGCCATTCATGAACTGAATTTTATTTAATTCTCATTATAAATCATATTAGTTGATATCTATTGCTATCATTATGATATTCTTGAGTACCACTTGCTATTAAATTCTACTAGGGGCTAATATCCTCTGTGTTAAATTCCTTTCAGAGGCATGAACTATCTCTGTGAGCATAAACCACATGCTATAATACACTGAGATTTGACACCAAGGTATTCCAAATTAATTCCAAAGTAAATCTCTCTGGTAGTGCCTACATAAAGTTCTTGCTTACCTTACCTTCTATGTACCATTTCTTAGCCCCAACCTGGACATGGCTGCCCGGATGAGCTGCTGCTGATGGAAAATTATCTCATGCCTTCATTCTATGGGACTTGCAGGAATGTATTACTAGATGAATCAGGCCATCTTAAGGTTACAGATTTTGGATTGAGCAAAATTACACAGGAAAAGGATTCATATGGTTA